TTTGTTCCCATGGTCCAGATATCGTCACCTTTCTTAAAACGGGTCAGGTGTTAGGGTAGAAAAGTATAGGTGTGTTAGATAATGGTGTTCAGGCAACAGTGTATGGGTGTGTTAAGTAATGGTGTTCAGGCAGCAGTGTATAGGTGTGTTAGGTGATGGTGTTTAGGCAGCAGGGTATGGGTGTGTTAGGTGATGGTGTTCAGGCAGTAGGGTATGGGTGTGTTAGGTGGTGGTGTTCAGGCAGCAGGGTATAGGTGAAATGGACATTAGTGGCCCTCTTCCCTGGCTGACTTTCCTACTGAGCAGCAGAGGGGTTTTAAGCAATAAAATGTCACAACATGTCAGTCTGTCACACTGTACTGTGTACACACGCGTTGCTCCTGGTATGAGTCACATGTCCACAGTGACAGCACACGCCAGGTATCAGATTCAAACCAGGGAAAATGAATACCGCATCCTGCAGGCCTGGCACCGTGTCGCGCCGATGCGTGATAGCCACCTTGTTATGGCATATATGAATCAGAGCAGCAGTAAGGGGGCGCCGCGTACACCCATGTGACTCTGCGTGGCTGTCTGCTGCAGCCAGATGCGTGAGCGACACGGCCTTGATCTCATAAAAACAGATATATACATCCCCATACTGAGAATTATTCTATCAAATAAACAGGATAGACACAGACAGGCAGCATCACCAGCCAGGCGAGACTATAATCAGCAGAGTGTATAAATCATGACGAATGCTCAGTACTGATCGTCCCATTGATCGATCAATTGATCCAGCTTTCCATCTTTCCACCCACTGCACCCCCACCCCCTAAGGAAAAAAAAACAGATTACATACACCTAGGCCTATAATTTTACCATTAAATGGACAAGACTGAGTTTTTGACCCTTTAATTAATGTGTACATTTTGTGAGTCGTTAATTTAGAAGGCTCTGTGGAAGGCAACATAATTAAAGTTCTTATTTAGTCAGTATTTTAGAGCATGGCAGTGTTTAAATAGCCAGGCATGCTCCTGCAGTCTGCATCATGAGTTAACCTCCATGACTTACAAACATTTTGAAAGGTGAATAAACTCAGTGTGAGTTTGTTTGCAAAGTCACTTTTCCTCGCACTGTTTGCCATAGCCATACTGTTTGCCCTGATTAAAGGCTGAACTGCAAATGTCTATTGCCTCCACTGGCTGCATGTATATCAGGCCTAATCCCTGTACTTTATTTATTTTCACCTTAATTCTTTCCTGGGATAACTCTGACGTCCCTTAGGCTGTCTGATTTTTAATAGCATAGGTGCGTCTGGCTGATTTTGAGTGTGTGAGCTTCATTAGATTGATTTTGCAGTGTGACATCGGGTGGGATTGATTTAGAATGTATGAGGCTTGTTAGTTTGATTTCAAAAGCGTGCGGTTCATCAGACCGTCTGATTTTGAATGTATGAGTTTTGTTGGATGTGTGAAGGGTTCTGGAGTGTATCCGTGCATCACTGTAGCAGCACAGCTCCAAGGTCACAGGCACCTCGGGCTCTGTGTGCGTTTGTTTGTTTGTTTGTTTGTTTGTGTGGGTATTTTGAGTTACTCCAGGCAGTCTGTTTTCCTCCCGCAGTTCAGAAACACACAGTTGTTTTGATACTCACGCCTTTAGTGCGTGAGTGAGGTGGATTCGAGCAAAAGTGCAAAGAGCAGCCATGACAGACTGAACATCCTGCTAAGGATAAGCATGAAAGACAAAATTTTGAAGCCCCTTGTTTGGGGGGGTGGGGGGGCTCCTCACTGTTTGAGTCCCTCTAGCTCGTTAAGGTTGCCGAACTTGGTTTGGGGGTAAATTTAATTAGCCTGTGAGCTTGAGCCCCCCCAGTCTTCTTCATTGCTACCCAATTACAGATGTCCGTCAGGAGCCCCCCCTCCTTTGCTGTCCCCCGTTTCACTGACTTTCGCTTCTCATTTCAAAGGACCTTGTCGGATTTAGCGAAATCCAGATAGTAATTTGCCGTTGAGCAATAGACGGGAGTAATTTCCCATCATCCCTTGGCTGTACAGAGACCATCTGCGTACCGCCACCATGCGACGGGCCTCCTGAATATTCATTTCCTCCCTCATCAGGTGGAATTAGTGTGTGATCCGTTTGCAAGGCGCGGTCGTGCTGGAGTCGCTGGAGCCGGTCGAGGGCTGCGGCAGTAATCAGCACTTTTCGGTGGCGTCGGGGGGCCTTCGCTGTTTCACTTCAGTCCTCTCCCCAGATGTTTGAAAAACTAAGCCGATAGCTAGTGAGTAGAACCAGTAGTTAAGTAGCTAGTTGGTAGCTTCAACATGAGGAACAAGTTTGTTTAATATTTAGTATACTGACTATTTGGGGCCAGTAGCCCCCCGCCTTCCCCCCTCCCCCAAACCTCAGGGGCCTCACAGAGATGCGTGGTGTGAGTGACGGTAAACCTGGCCGCTGGGTGTAGCTGGGGTGAATGTCAATACCGGCTGGGCATCAGACAATGCAGTGTGCTACGGTTCCGCTCCGTAAACGACTACTTTCTCATCCCAGAATCTGATATCCAAATGCGGAATGCTGCTCTCTCTCCCCTGAAAACGGGGGGCAGGATGATGCCGTGCTTCAGCCGGTGGCGATTAGGAAACGTGGCGGCCACTATCAAATTGAATCATGGCGAATTCGAGGCAGAAATACTCATCTCGCCCTGCAAATCATTCCTCTAAATATGTAGCGGGTGAAATATGGCTGCGCTAACGGGCTGCTTAATTGCAGCATTAAGTTAACGTATGAGATCCAGCTGACCTGATCTGATGGCTGAATGTACAGCTGGGCATCTTTAGCTGATCCGGCTATGGGGACGGCACGTCACGTGATGCTCTTTATATCGCGCTTTATAACGTATTTAAGCTGCAGGGAGAAGAGTCCTTAGGTAAAAGAGCCTTTCCTCTCGCACTGGCCCCCACTATGACCTCCTCTTCTGATCTTTTTCATCCTAATCCACTAGTGACATTTTTGTCCTTTAAGTTTCAAGTTTTATTTGTCGCATCCAATCTCCAGTGCTTCCTGAATCGTGCTCAAATGAATAGGATTTAAATAATAAAAATTGTAAGAAAATATAAAACAATACTCACAGTAAAAATAAAAAGCAGTGATTTTAGTAAGTGTGTTTTCTGTGTTTACATAAGGCGGTATATGTCAGGAAGGGGTAAGATAAAGCCTGTAAAGTGTGTAAGGGTGGTGTAATTCTGTAAAGTCTACATCCACTGACTGGCTGTGTGGTGCTGAGCCTGCAGCTGGTTATGGGAACCATCATGGAGTCCAATGAGATCTGCAGTGCTGGCACCAAACGCGCCCCCCAGCACACCCCAAAAGCACTTCACAAATAAACCACTTTTGCCGAGCCCTTAGAATGTGATTTTTTTTGCCAAGCATTGGGTCATGATGTAACGTCATTTGCCTAAGGTGCAATACCTGCGGGAGAAGAGGTATACCTGCTATTTCGGGAGAGCACACGGCGTGTGCGTTTACGTGAGACGCACTCCGGGATGTTCCCTCTTGTCTGAAGCCTTCACTGTAAACATTTGCACAGCAGGGATTGTATGACTCAAACTAGTGATACCTGTACATTTAACCACGTGTGTATTGCTGCGTTAGTCTCATCTCGTGGTCACAGATCCAAGTTTGGGCCTTGCTGGAATCTTCCCTGAGAATGGCAGAAATGCTGGGCACTAGCGCAGCTCCAGCTATAGGAGCAACTGGCAAATGGGCTCACAGTGTGTAAGGAAGAAATACAGCCCCCCTGCCCCTATCGAGGTGACCGTAATCTGTAGGGTTAAGGGCACTTAACAAACACAATGGATCCAGATGCACAGATGCCCTCAGTTCTCTGGGCAGGAGCTGAGAGAGGTCTGACATCAAGCCGTTCTTGGTATATTCTGTTGTGGTTCGTTCCTTCAGTTTCCAGCACTAACAGACCTGGTTTTACGTACCATTAATGCAACACTGTGATTATTAACTTCACCCGCATGCCATCGCAACCCTCTGGACCCCAGTGGCATCCTAAACAGATCGCACAGGCGGTTCATTACCTCGGGAATCAGAGCTCTAGCCTCAACCGATCTCATGGCCTTGGTTTAAAGGTAATCGAGAGGCTGTTTTATAAACATGGGGTTTCTGCAGCGTGATGGAAACAAAGTGTTTATCCTGTTTGAGCCAAAACGTTCACAGAAACTATTGATGTCAGCAAGGAGCGAGTGCAAGCGGCCGTCCGTGGCGATGCCTGCTTTTACAGTGTGGCAGATGATCTGTCGTGAGCAGAACTCGCTGTCCAGCAGTCTAAAATAAGTACCTGTTTTGGTTCGAAATGAAACGCAAGGCTAGCGGAGAGATGGGTAAGTTGAGGACATAATTTCGCTCACGATGCAGGGAATGGGGTTCCTATTAAACAGAGCCGAATTCCACGGAGCTATTTATCTCCCCAGAAGAGCATGTCAATGCCCGTTTAAGGCGATGAACGGTGCAAGGGGAGAGGGTACGTTTATAAACAATCTCCAGTGCTTGTTAAATGGTGCACAACCCTCCTGCAGGTTGATCTGCTTTGATTTGGACACTGAAATCTTGATGCACTGTATTGGAATTGTTGGGAAAGTGACAATGAGTGTTTATTTAAATTTAGCTGGTTTACATATTTAAAGCTAAGCTCTGTCAGTTACAACAGCAAAACCCTTGCTGGAGTTTAAGCTGGCATCCTTAACGATTCTAAATCGAACCACTATGCCACATGCTGCCCATAACATTAAAAATACTGTTATCATTAATTAGAGGATTTGTTTGGACCACTTATGATATCACGATGTCACATGATGACATCATAATGTCACATAATGTGACACTGCTGAACTTGATGTTTTACCCAGAAAGCTCCAGTTAATCCAGCTGTATACATGGTTATGGTACTGAACATCATAATGGCTGTACTTTATTTCACAGGGTGTTAATAGCACCTGCTCGGTCTCTTCCAGGTCCTGGAGACATGCTGGTGAATTGTCCCCTTAACCACATGCAGTGTGTCGGCACCAGAAAATGCATCCACTTCAACAAGCTATGTGACGGAGCGCGAGACTGCGAGGATGGCTATGACGAGGGCATGCACTGTCGAGGTGAGATCCGGCAGCGTGTGACAGGGGCCGCATGCCTCTCCATTGTCAGTGTGTTTCTAATGGTTTCAAAAACAGAACTAATCAGGAAACTGCAGTTATGGCCAATCAGGGCTGGCACCGTTGTGGTTAGCGGGTACATTTAATGAGTGTTTTTGGGGTTAATGGCTTTGCTGACGGGCCCAATGGTGACATTACTCTGCCGTCATAACCTGCTGAACCACACATTGCCCCATCATTTTTCATTGTGGAGTTCATACCGTGCCTCTGACAGCTCTAAGGGGACTGGGCGATGCTTTTTCCGTCCCCCCCCCCCCCTCCAATGCACCCCAGGGAAAGCTATGTCAGGCCCAACACTCGTAATTTCTAGGCCTTTAGGATGTGGAGCCCCTCCCACCTGCCCCCCCTACTTGTCCCCCCCAAGTTGGCTGTCCTGACAACAACAGTGGCACCTGGATTTGCCAATGGCTGTGGGGCATGTGTGTGTTTACAGTAACTGGTGCTGTGAGGACAGGCCAGGGGTGGCGATGAGGGGGGGCTGCCTGCGTATTTAGGATGTGGAGGGCAGCAGGTAGCTGCCAGTTAAGGATGCCGACTTGTGACCCAGGAGATGGTAGTACCCTTGAGTCAGTCCAGCTTCAGAAAGCTGAAGACTCCTCGCACCAGACCGTACGATCGCTTTGTTCCCTGCTAGAACAGGACAGAAACACAAACGGCATGAATCTGGAGGGCCCTCATGGGAAACGGGGAAATAAGCAAATAAGCAGTGGTGCACTCGTGTTGGCTGCCGCCGGGTCCCGGCGACCCTGATGGCGCGGTGACGCCCCCCCTGTTAAGCCCCCCTGCCTGCTGCCAGAGCCAAGCCGGGTGGCATTAAGCCCGCGGTGTCACCCAAAATGTCACTGCATGTAAAAAGGCCCCACCCTGTGGATATAATGTGGAGGGGGGTTATTAGTATGTATGTATTCCGGGTACAAATCCAAAGTATCGATTTCCGCATGCCACACTGCCGGCATGGGGGCTTGTCAGACTTCTCATGGCTATCGAGCCTTGAAAACACCCCAGCTGTCCCGAGGCTTATGGGACACGACCCATACCCCGCTGGCCCCTGGGAACAGCATGGGGGGGTTTAGCTGGGGAATGGAAAGTCAACAGTCGGCCTGCTCCACGCCTGTATCCCTGTTTCTCTCTTCTTCATTTGTGGAGCCCATTTTCACACATTCTTTTCCTGGGGGGTGAGGAGGGGGGCATGGGGTTCATCTGCCATATGGCCCCTCAGTGATTAAGCATGCAAAGGTGATGCATTGCAGGAGAGACTCTCGGAGGTGAGGGGACGTCAGGTGTGTTGTTGAGCTCAGCAGAATAAACATGCTTTTAATTAGGGTTCGTTAAAAGATCAGCACCAGCCTGTTAATCGAACATCCTGTCCACTGGCTGATGTGGCTTTTCCTCCAAGCTCAAAGTTGCCACTCAAAGTTGGGTGGTGGCAGGTTATAAACAGCAGGGCCTTCCAGCGGCTGGAAGGCTGTCCTATGGCGTTAGCGGGCTATCCTATGGCGTTTCACACCACGTGACAGGGTCTCATACAAAGGCCAGCCGATGGACTCTGTTCTGACGAGCCGAGACATGCATCTCATTCTGACAGCTTGTGCCTGGCAGCCCTTCGGTATGACGGGTGGGTCCGGATGGCAGGCTTTGTTTTGAATTCATCACTCAGCCCCAAATCCCAGCCAACAACGACAATAAGACCGGGTCCTGTCCTGGTGAACAACTTTTTCACTGTCCCACATATGGTTAGGACGCTGTTCCTCTGATCAGAAGGTTGCTGGTTCAATTCCCAGTGTCGACTAAGTGATTTTACCATTGGGGCCTAGAACAAGGTCCTTAACCCCCAGTTACTCCAGGGACTGTCTGATCCTGCTTTCTGAAAGATATGCAGTGCTTTGGATAAAACCATCTGCTAAATAAATGTTATTATTATAAATAAATATTAGTATGTTGGAGCAGCTGCCCCAGAAAACCAACACAGGGCAACTTTGAAGCATTTTAATATATCGCCAAATTGCCCCAGTCCATGGGCCGCACCTCTGAAGTGCTGGCATCCTGCTGCACTGAGAACCAGTGTTTATAGTCTGCAGGCATGGAGCTGCTGAAAAAGCCTGGTAATTACCCAGAAATGGACAATCCCCGGTTTGTAATCACCCGCACTCCGCTGTAACCAGATTACTTTGTTCACTCCGTGGCCACACGAACCCCGTAGGGAATACGCATTTCGTATCATGCTGAAACGGCAGTGTGTGTTTGTATGTGGGTACATGCAGCTTTGCCTTGTGCCTTTGGTGCATTCCCATGGTCCCGTCTGCGTGTGTGGAATAGGCGAATAGGCTGTGATTGAATTCAGCTGGACTACGTTTCAGAATAAGTAATACTTTACACTTTGGTATTTTGGACCGGTAATAATCGCTGTTAATCCCGGTGTCTGGTTGATGCCTATTTTACTGCAGAAAAGCACTTGATCTCTGTTGTTTGCTTTAGGTGAAATGCTGGGCTTTCGTTTCACCCTTGGTGCTGATTCTCAGCAGTCTTTTTACACTTTATATTTATTTAATATTAGATTTAAAAGGTGAGTGTTGACGGCAAGGTCAAATTGTGTTTTATTTCATTTTTTTTTACCGTCTTGCCAGCTGTGGTTCTGAATTAATTATGACAAAAATTAAGAAATAATAAAGTTTATCCCTCCCATTTTGCATTTTTAACTATTTTTCTTAAATGAGGTGTCAGTATGTAGGCTTATTGATTTGCTCTTGTTAATCTGCCCACATGTCGAATTGTTCAGTTAAACACTCTGCAGTGTTGAATATTCAGCGTTATAGTCTATCAGGTTTCATCCGGTTTGGCTCTTCCCTGTAATCATTTTGCTCTTGACGGGTGTGTAGGTGAGGGATCCATGCGGCGCAGAGCTGCCCACACTGGTGTTTATCTGAGAGGGAGAGAGAGTGCAACCCAGGCAGCGACTCTTGGTGTGTAATCAAGGATTTCTGCTTTAGTTTCATGCCGTTCACCAAGTCAAATGAAGTCAAGTCAAACTTTATTATCATTTCAAAATATGCAGGCATACAGTGAAACAAAATAGCACTTATCCGAGACTTAAAAAACAGCTTCACACAGAACATGACAAGTTAGACACACAAGACAGTGATGCATGAATGAATAAATACGCTGCACATAGTGCAACTTTCAAGTAGAACTGTGCTCTGGGTATGATTGTACATCATCTCAGTTTAGAAATGTACATGTAAACATCTTCCAGTGAAAGAGCAGGGGATGGATAACAGGAGCACTCTTTGGTAGCAGGAAAAATGTTCGGAGCAAGTGTTTTGCATTTAGATGCTGAAACAGGCAGCAAAGACCATGCTGATGGTTTAGGATTTGGTTTAGCTGCTTGCTATTTAACGGCATTGGGAGGCGGACTGCGTCGACTCGCCGACGTCATCCACGTAACGCAGTGACCTTCAGAGAAAACACAGCCATCTTATCGCGCATCCGCCCTTGTGGACTGAACATGTCGTACCTGCGGTGGACTTAGTGGAGTGCCGGGCAGAAACTCGGAAATGACACGCTGGAAAGTCACTGCGTAAAGCCGTGGGACATTTAGTGACAATGTGGTGGAGGGATCACACTTAATTACTTTATTGCTTGCTATGTTAGTTATAGCAATCACCATAACAGACCGTAAAAAAACGTATTTACAATACATTTTTATAGTTAGTATGGGCCATAAAAGGTTTATAATTTCACAGAGTTTAGAATACCCACGAGCCTGAAGCTATTCCTCAGTAAACTTCTGCTTCTCGAAAAACCACTGACTTTGTTGTGTTTTTTTTCCTTATGATTGCCTATAATTTAAAAGTGATATCAGAGAACATACAGTAAGGCTCCGTTTGCAGCCTTGTAGAATGTAATTAACATCGAGTCTGTCTTTTAAATGTTAATGGACAGCTGAAACTGGCATTTGCTTAACAAGACAAAGACGTGGAGATATTGATCAAAGGCACATATCGAGGGCCAATTTAACTCATGACATTTTTAATCTGTGACATTTTTTGCCTGTTTCATGTTCGACATTTACAAGTTTTGGGCGTTAGAGAGTCGTTTGAGTGAAATGTGATTAAGAGCCGCGTTTATAGAGCTCCGTTATGATCTCTCTGTATAAAAAGGCAAGAGATTTGTTTAAACCACACTGCCAAAACTACATCCATCTAATAAAAAGCATCAAGTGATTGATTAGAAATAAGACGTAAGAGACAGAATCGTAATTCACCCGGTAATATGGTTGTCGTGTATATTCTGCTGTCGCTGCTCATGGCAAACACGTGGCAAGTCAGCCATAGAGTTTTGGGCACAGCAGCGCCAGATCCCTGAATCCCACAAGGCGGGGCTGTCTTATAATGTGTTTGTACATTAGGAAAGTGCTGACCAAACAGGAAATAATGATTCTGGCAGGTCCGCGTGCCAAGGACAGTGAGGAACCAGGCACATAGCCACATAGTAAAATTCCAGGTTTGGACCCCCCGCCCCGAAATTTGTTTGCTTCCGACCAGGTACACAGGCAAGTAGTAAAATTATGAAATTTGAAGTCTATGGTCGGCAAAATCTACTGCGAGGAACTTACTGCTAGGGTAGCTGGACCCCCATGACGGTTAAGGGTGCCTAGAGTGCCACATGGGCTTGGACCGGTACCGAGAACACAATGGGAGGTGCTATTCCAATAGAATCATACAAATGCGTCCCAGTCTCTTTCCAGTATTGTCCATATGGAGGACCGCAGAGACTTTCCTGCTGCTGCTGGGATAAGCAGAGCTTCAAACATAATTTACACCCATTGACAGGCTGAGTTAAAACACAACACCCTCCCGAGGCGTCTGCTAGCTCCCACGGGATGACCGTCCCGCTCCCTACAGGAGCTGCTGCTCCTCCGTGGGTGTTACTGTGACGAGTAAACC